TCTTGTTCTGACAGATGATGCTGAGCTTCTACATTGTCTCTTTTCCCAGATGTAGTAAATCTCATTGCTGTGTATTTTATCAGGTGAGGTCTCTATGCATAGTTGCCATTTATCTTTCTTTAAAGAAGGTAATTGCAGTAAGAAAATTGTTGGTCATAAACAATTCTATCATTTCTGTCATCAAGGACATATTTTCCAACTACCAAACTTTTGTTTCCAACTTTTGCATTCTAAACACCAGTTATTACTAAGGTATCTTGATTGCAGGTTTGATTAATTTAAAACTTCAGAAGTTGGTGATGGTTGTTGTTGGTCTTAGGTGCTGTTGAGTCATGTGTGACTCATAGTGACCCTATGAATAACAGATCTGAACCCTGTCCTATCCTGTGCCATCTTCACAATCTCTGACACACTTGAACCCATTGCTGCAGTCACTGTGTCAATTTATCTAGTTAGGGGTCTTGCTCTCTTGCTGACCCTTCATCTTTCTAAGTATGATGTCTCTTTCTAAGGAATAACCTTTCCTAACAATATCCCCAATGTATGAGATATGGAGCTTTGCCAATCTTGCCTTTTTCCAAAACAAATCTTTTTTTTCCTTCTCATCTTTTGCTTTAGTGGTTTGTGAATAAATTTGAATAATATTCATATTTAGTAGGTCTTCCTCATATATATATTAATATTATCATATCACTGACAAAATTGTATTTCAGGATCTGTCAGTTTTGAAATGTTCTTTATTTTTACTATAAAATCAAATTCTTTATTATTCAATCAAGCTATTACAATGACTATAAATTATTAATAGACCTGTATATACTAAAATTGGGTTTATTGTATTCCTAAAACAGTTGTTCACTGAAGGCAGTAGTCAACATTAAATTCAACTCTCTTTTCAGATTAACCATGTATCCTGAGCACACACAGAATACTGCCTCCTAATTCTTACAGCCAAAATCCTTTTAGAAATATTCTAAAATTGCTAGAAATGAGAATAAAGTATGGCAAATAGCTAAGAAGCTTGACCAGAAGCCCCCTTAAGTTTTTCATCTTCATGAACCAGAAACTAAACTCTTCACTAAAGAGCTTCATAAATCATTTGGAAAATCAGTGTAGAAAGAAACAAAGACCTACACTTCCCACCCCATTCTGTAAGTCTTCCATTCTTGAGAAATGAGCACATGGCACCAGTTGTAAAAGATCATAGTAAAGGTGATACTCAAGCTTTGGTTCTGGATCAGTTTTCTGGCTTGGACTGGTCAGGCATCACTTCTTTCTGAATCTTCATTAGTGAATTTAAACGAGTATGTACAAACATTATCTTCTCTTTAAGCTCTGCAATCTTTTCTGGGAAGAGTTATGTTGTGAATCTCCATCTCAGATGCATTCACTATGGTTTTTGTCTTTAAGAGATAGCACATTATTTTGTCACTGGAAAGGCAAAAATGACCTCTCAAGGCAGCTAATATAGCATGGGTGGAATACAGATGGAAACCAATGGCAGTTCCACCGGAACTACAGGATAAAAGGTTGTAAATGCTGCCTTTGAGTGGATCGTCAATGCCAACCAATAAGGGATCTTCCAAATCAACATTATTTGTGACTTTGGAGAAGGCCACGGCTCCAGGTTGCTGCAGCAGGTCCCAGGGGAGTTGCAAGGAGTCCGAAATATTCTTTTTTAAGGACAAGTTCATTGCTGCCATTGTAGACTATATGATTGTTGAATTCAAAATGGCCAATATCAATCCATTTTAGCTCACTAATAATGAGTAAGATGTTGATATTTGTGCATCCCATTTCACTTTGAAAAGTTTTGATTTTTCTAGATTCACACTTTGTGTTTCATTTATTAATGGATGTGTACAGCTCTTTTTCCTCATTTTGAGTCATGCCATTGCTACAGGTGAAGGCCCTTCATTAGCTGAAGGCTTTCTTCTCTTCCCATGGTCACGGTAGACTCCATTTTGAGGAGGTAGCCCTTCTGAAGCAGTAGTATCTTGAGGGCCTTCCAACCTGAGAGGCTCATCTTCTGGCATTCTGTATCAGACAGCCTTCTGCTGCTATTTGTTGCTATTTCAAGGGTTTATTTCAGAAGTGGGTGGCCCCTCCTGCTTTCCTGCCTAGTGTACTTAGTCTGGAAGCTCTTCTGAAACATGTCCACCATGGGTGACCCTATTAATATTTGAAATACCAGAGCCATAGCTTCCAGCATCACATGCAATAACATGCAAGCCAGCACAGAACCACAGACTGACCCATGAATGATGGGCAGTCCTCTGGCCCTCTTTTTTCTTTATTATTAATAGACTTAGGCTATAAATATTACTCTGTAAACTTTTTTAAAAAAATAGTGATATGAGCTGATGTCTTGTGTGTTTTTATATACGTTGACATATGGATATATGTATATATATATAAGCATTTACAGTGTTCCTCTGATTCCTAAGAGAGAATTACTAGATCAAAGGATCTAGGCATTTGCTTTCATTGGAGCTTTCCTGATTTACATATTTCATTCTCTCTGAATGAAAGAATTTGTTTCTTTGCATCTCCACCACTTTTGGCATCATCAGTCTCTAATTATGTCTTTTATTATTTTATTTGGGTGAAATTTTACATTTCATATTGGTTTTTCATTCACATAAATTATGTTTTTAAAACATTATAACTGTTTAATGCAGCTAATTAAAATATTTGTTCAGCACTTTACTTTATAGATACTTTTTACTGTATCAGGAAGTCACCATTCTGATGTTAGATCCTGATTACTTTTTTGAGAAAAATATTTTTATTTTTCAAAAATAGCAATGATTTTTTAAAAAAGAGCAATGATATAGAGCTTTATTTTCCTCTAGCTCCATGAAATGAATTTTGCTGCGTGGTTAAATAGTTTAATTTTAAGCTTTTCTGAATTTGTTATCTTCACAAAATATAAGTGGGGCATGCCCTCAAAGAGTAATTTTCTGCAATAATGAATGAATGGAAATCCTAAGTCTCTGTAAATTTTCATTGAAATTAATAATAAAAAAAATTTTAAAAAAACATTCATTTTGATGTATCATAGTGAAGTTAATTTGTGCTCATTGATTTTTATCCACAGGGAAAATTTACCAATCTTGGTGATTGTCCTTGTGATAGACAATTGTATGGGCAGGAGAGCTAGTCAGTGCTAACAAAGAAATATATGGAGATTCCATGCATATATATACTACATAGATCTCCAAATAAAATGAAGGAAAAATAGTCACTTTTTTCACTTAAAATAAAGATGATGTTGTTCTGTGCCATCAAGTCGCTTGTGACTCAGCAACCCTATGTACAAGAGCTCTAAATGCTGTCCTATCCTGTGTCAACCTAGCCATCTCAAACACACTTATTCCCACCACTCCAGTCACAGAATCGATCCATCTCATTGAAGGTCTTCCTCTCCTTCGCCGCCCCTCCACTCTGCCAAACATGATGTCCCT